AACAAATGAGATTTATATCAACGCAGATATGTTGATAATATTACATTTCCATATTTAAACGATAATTGCTTATTCCAAAACGGATTATGTAAATTGATGTTTCGATCAGAAATGATGAGATATTTCTTGCTGAGAAATTGAAATGTACAAGATAATGGCAGATAATTGGCGCTGCCAATTTTTCAATCAATAACGAAAGAGTGTATGATTTGATTTTAGAACTTCATATGTGAACTTTTCTCACACACATATATTAAAACTACAAAATTTCAGCATTGTCAAGTTTCAAAGCAAATTTCTTCTTTCACTAATATTTTTTATATCTCGTGCAAGCTTTAAGATCATATTTTAATATTATAATTACGCTTCGATTATAAATTATGCATTTTTCAATTGTATAAAAGATTGTATAAGACTGTATAAAAGACTTTTCTTAAATTTCTTCAAGTTTTCAAGATTTTTTTTCAGATTTGCATTTCGAAATCAAGCGCATCACTTATCATAATCGCAAGAACGAGCGATGCACAGATAAAAGAAATTTGCTTTAGGAAATCTTTTCATCCAATTTTCCTCTCTGTTACGCTCAAAATAAAACATTGCAATTAAATATCGCGTTAATGAATACCGCGCTATTATTATTTAAATACGCGCTCTGAAATAATAAGGACATGTTATTTCAGAAAATTCACACTTAATAAATAGCAATTTAAAATACGAAACGTTTAATGCCCAATTAAAAATGTATCCATTATCGAATTCTTTTTTCATAAATTATATCGTGTGATTGTTAATATTAATATCGAATTCAAGACTCCTAAACTGAGACTTCAAAGCATTTTTATTTAAACGTACAACGTATCCCCCATCGAATTAGAGGTAAAGATTGTATTTTCGTGGATCATCACCTGTTAATAAAGGAGGCAGCGATAGAGAGCGGCGATAATGAATTGCGGCGAGATTCGCGGGTGGCTTCTTACAGCGAATTTATTACGAGGGTTGGAGGCAGGTAGAAGGAATGGAAACGCGCGCGCCTATCCTATCGCGGATCTCCCGCTTGGTCCACGCGAGAGGATCGCGTCGACGGCGGCAGCGGTGGCGGTGGCGGTGGCGGCAGCGGTAGTGGCGGCGGTCCCGGGAGCGAGAGGCAGCGGCTCGCACGCGGCTGCATCAGCGGCGACGGCGGCGGCTGTCGGCCCGAGCAGGTGGATCACTCGGCGACGCGGTTGACGACCCTCCCACCGTCGAGTTGAGAGACAGCGCGGCGACGAGACACGAGGAGGACGTCAACTTGCCGATCTCCATAACATGATCTCGTCGTATCGTTTCGTATCGTCGCGCCGGTCCTCAACATCGACGCGGACCAATCATTATCCGACGCGAGGAAGAGACAGAGAGAAAAAGGAAAACAAAGAGAAGGATGGAAAAAGATTGAAAGAACAATATCTCGATATCTCGCGAAGCACTGCCGGTCCACTCAGCCGGAGGATTGTGGGATTCGACGGCACGCGAGTCACAACAAAAATGTTCCGAACAGGTACGCGACCGGCGGTACACTGGCTGCCCGGGTAGAGCGCGCCTAGTAGACGGCGCCGCCGCTGATTGGCCGGACACCTCGACCAATCGCGAGGCGGCGGCACGCCGTATCACCGCGGCCGAGTACCGCCGGATCTTTCCGATCGCGAAGCTACCCTTAAGCCATCTGAAGATGGTGAAGTGCGTGCGAGGGTCGCGAATTCTTATGCGTGCCGTGCATAGAACGCTTGGAAGTCATCGAGTGTATAATGTCCGTACGGATAATTGCGAATGTGGGAAAATAAATAGACGAATTTTTTGCGAAAACTATGTGCAAAGTATAAACTTTCCTTGGAGAATTAACGGATTTAATTCACGCAAATATGACGTAATCATGTGAACGTTGCGTGATGGAAAGCATTAATTCTGATAAATACCATATATCGCAAGCGCGGAAAGATTCCTTAATCAAGATTTGAAAATTCGTACGCATGTAAATGGCACACTGATAAGATAAGCGAAATAAGCTGTACACGATGGACACTTTATCTCACTTATTGCAATTACATTTATAGAAGTAAATTTTATGAATGCTGTAAGAATCCGTAGAAATTAAAATTTGTAAAATTAAAATTTATACAAACTACATCAAGTAGTATTCAAATAAATTCTACATGCGTATATAACATATTACAAGACTTATTAATATTATAATGATATATGGGGGAAATCAAATGAAATGACTAAATATGAAGGATCATATCGTTCCTAATTCTTCATGGCGATTTACAGCGTTCTCGTGTTCATTAGCGTGAGATAAATTGGAACGATATTTTTCCAGCGTAAATATCATCACTTAAAAGAAAGCGCAACAGATGACCTTTAAGTATTTCATAAATTACGAAAGAACAAATTACAGCACCTCCTGCCATATCTTCATTGCGATAGAGCCTAGGAATTAGTTCACGTAATTAATTAACAGGAGATTACATCGGTGGCTCGACTAACCGTCGTTTCTCCTTTAAGCTCAAGCATGGCTTTAATGTTGGATCGATTAATAGCTTGTTTCCGGTCGAGTGAACATGCACGTCTTATTAGCAAAAAATGGTGATTATACAAATGTACATCGCGGTAATTCTATATTGAGCGTAGTTAAAGGCCGCCGATTAGAAAAACTTACGGATTCACGCCAGCAAGGAAAAATCGTATTTACTTAATCGGATTTGTATTGATGTACACAGTGTCATTAATGTCTTGACACGTAAATTTATCGCAGAGTATCGGAGTGTGCATTTTTCGCGTGTATAAATGCCTAAATTCATATGTGAAGTATTAATAATTCCGTACACGCTGAAATTTTCTAACAATTTGAATTATAAAATTATTTATACAATTTATTATAAAAATATATAATATGATTATTATTAATTGTACAAATAAATAATTATTAAATATATAATAATATGATTATTATTACTTTAATTGTACAAATAAATAATTATTTATTTAACTTTATATTAAAAAACGATAAAAATTTCTATTTTTACGCGAGGCTATTAATATCTTGACATATGAACTTAGACGCTTATCAAAATATATGTAGAAAATACTTATAAAACTGAGAAAAAACAATCAATATATACACAAATGATATGTCATCGAGAAAAATAAATGCGTTTATAATTGTCACATATATAATTTTTTATTTCAGAAATATATTAATAAATTATACTTACTAAAGAGAAATCTGTATCATGTCGACTTTCTCCTTGTAATCATTAAATCTCCTTTGTGCACTAGCGCCGACTGAAAAAAATAGATGTAAACTAGTTACATAGTTACATTCATTTTCCTATATCACCGATAAATTGCTATTTGTTGCATACTTGTTATGTCTTGATATGAGATTATACGCTGTTGTTCGAAAACCGATACGTGAACGGCAACGCGGCAATTTTGAAAATTAACCACGCATACCATTATGAAATATTTGTCAATAATAATTATGGCTAGCACGGTTTCGTAATATTCTTTTTAATTTTTATGATATACCATAAAAAATGCGCTATTGTGTATGTAAAATCATGACGCAATCATTCACTCATAAGCACTCAAGACGCATTACTCATCGCGTCTATCACATTACGCCTCGAGATTTGATTAGCACTAGAGATTTGATTAACAAGTACTACAGATATATCAAACTCGACATTATTATCTTCAATGAGCGATAATTATCATCTTACAGTTAATTATCCTCTCGTGAGTGAGAGCCTGTAATACAATGGAAAAATGTTTGTTTATCAAAACGATTATTTTGCGCGATTTAAATATCTTGCCTGATTAGATTTAACACGCAATGATAACTCATTCATCAAAATTTAATATGGAAATTTGATAGCAGGATATTACTCTTCTCTTTTCCGTAATTTATTTTATTTAAAACGTAAATATTTATTATTTAAATGATAATAACAAATGGCTGATTTTATAATTGACGTAATGATCTAGAAAGTTGTATTAGTTAATTATTATAACATTTGATAATGTGACATTATCAACGTTAGATTTCCTATAATTCGTTTTTCAATAATTTCTCAATTTTACAAAAATTTAAAAATTCTTCGACAAATTCGAACTCTTTAAATTCATAGGGAAAGATAAAAAATCAAGAATAATTAATTCAGTCACGCAATTTTACAGTTACAATTTAGTTTGAATAATTGTACATACATACGCAATGACTCTCATTGTCAGTTCGTTTATGTTAAAGAGAAAACAGAAAAAAACGATACAAAAAATTCAATTAAAACAAATAGAACTAATATTTCAGACTATATCCATTTTTGTAACCAATAATTTATTTAACTTTAATTTCAATTTAATTTTTAGTTTTTGCCTTTACTTTCACCCGCGTTCCAAAACTCATTGAGAAAAATGTCTCAATATTTATTGACAATCCTGTGCGTTTCAGTTATAGGTTAGGTTTTCGTGTGACATGATCAAAAATGGATACAGCATTACTGAAAAATAAATTTCGCGGTACGATGCTGGGCGTTTTAATCGGCGATTGCCTCGGAAGTCCATACGAAGGCTTAGAAAAATTATCGCGTCTCAAAAAGACCGTTTTGCAACGAAAGCACGATAAATTATGGGAAACAAAGTTTAGAGGTTAGATCACACAATAATTTTTATATTATTTAATACAGATAATATTTCACCAGTTCGTACATTTTATGTAAAAACTTTAATTTGATTTTTACATTAATTTGAAATATTTTACTTTTAATAGTACAAGTTATTCGTTGGTCCAATATTAGTTATATGTTATTATAATGTCTAAAGTACCAAAACTTCGCAGTTCTTTTAATATTAATCAAGAAATGTGATAAGTCTAAAATTTCCGGTGCGTGTTTTACATTGTATTCTTCATAGTAATTTAATAAATCACGATTTTTTTATATTAAGAGAATTCTCTTGATTGTACAGAACCTGTCATGACATACACAGATGATTCAGCAATGACACGTGCCTTAGCTGAGTCATTGATTGAGAAACGAGATTTGGATATTGTTGACGTAGCTCAACGATTTGCAAAAAGTTATTATGAAAATCCTGATCGTGGTTATGGAGCTGGTACTATCACTGTTAGTGTTTTACTAATTTTAAGAGATATATTTACTTAATTACTCGTTACTTTTAATTCTTGAAAAAACCCACACATACACATATATA